TTAGGGTTACACTAACGTATCACAACCCGGACAGTGCTGTGATAAATGTGGTAAGTAAAATGGAATAGATATTTAAGTTATATATAGCTGTACTATATGGCTTTATTTATATTGAATATTTATGAATTTGTTTGGTATAGAAAGTTGGAGAATGGCTTTATTCTGTAACAAAGCAAAGCCATGCATTCTCCAACTTTCTACCAAAATAAATCCATCAACATCAACCATAATAATGAATACTAGCAATGCTCGTGCTGTACATTGATTTACGTAAGTTTATGAACTGTGGGGATAATGTAAATCTCCCGTCGAAATAATACTGTTGAACTGTTCCGTTTGATTTGGGAAAATGTGCGTTCTTTTCCCCTTTATCTATCAAACACTATAGCGTAATTTTAATGCATCGTTTATTACTGGCAAAAACACTTGTTGCACATCCTCAGTTTCAATATCAAAAGGAAACCCCTTTTCCAGTCAATGCTGTGACATTTTTGGTGAGTGGTCCCTGGAAAATAATTAGTAATTTGGTCATATGTTCCCTTAAGAATGTTTCAGCGTAAAAAAAAAAATCGATATTTTTCTATAATTTGTATATACCATACTGGCAAGTTATTCTAAACATATCCATCTTTTCCATACAAAAATAACTTTGAAGGTAGCGGATTCGAATGCCAAAAGACTAAGGCTTAATTTCCATTTAGTCGTAATTGTCGTGAACATCAAAAGCCCACACATGCAGACAGGGCGCGATCTTGCAACGCGACGCGATTTTTCAAAATTTTTCATATTCCAAGTGCAAATAGATTTTGCCGCATGAATTTTATTGCAGGAGAGATAAATATCGCCTTCATTCCTTAAATAGGTCAGTACATGCATATCAGTTACAAGATATGAGTTGAATTTATCTTAATTTCTAGTTCTACCTACCACTACTGCATCATCTACAACAATATCCACACCAACAACTGTGACATTAACAAACTGTTCGCTGAATGGAGTGTATCACGAGGTTGGGTACCGAAATTATAGCTAACATACGTATAAGCGATAGAGAGTATATTATGAATAACATATTCCTAAAAGATGACAAGTGATCTATCAGTATTATATAATTTCTTTCAATGAAATACCAAAAGAGAAAGAGAGATCAGTAGAATCTGATCACTTTTCCCAAAACCACACGATTCAGGTTTTAAAGTAATAGCACGTTTTTGAATTTTAGGTTGGCAAAATATGGAAAGAAAGCAACTGCAAGACATGTACATGTCAGAGTAATTTTACAATTAATTGTATAGTGGCGACATGCGGAAATTGTCCCAGCGTAAGTAGAAAATTGTAGTTTTTAAAAATAAAACAGAAAATAAGTGAGACGTGATAGTCGTGATAAAGTTGACATTTGCAATTAAGTGACTATAACATTCTTCCTCTTTAATTTAAGGGCTCAAATGCGATGTATTACCCTGGAGAATGTTGTCCGAAATGCGGTAATTATGAACGCACCGTAATAGTTTTTCTCACCAACTTCACTGTAACTGCAGCTTGTGAAATAGAACTGTTCACGAATATATTTTAAAATTGAGACTAGGCGCTATTTGAATTCAAAAATTCGAATATTATGAAATAACATGCATGTGGGCATTTTTTAAAATATATTTTAGTGGCGTATGGTGAAAATTGGTGCTTTTATCATTGTGGGGCGTAATTAAAATGTTCTAAGAGGTAGTCATTTTTAACAAATTAAGCCTGCGCAAACATCCGTTAATTTTTTTTAAATAGTTACGACTCCAACTCCATCTTCCACCACCATACCTTTGCCCACACAATCTACTGTGAAACCAACCGGTAATCGAACCACCATCACAACACCTACCACGCCCACCTACTGTAGAATGGATGGAGAAAATTATAAGGTAAGAATATGTTTTTAATTTCCGCCTTAAATTACATTTGATTACAAATGTCTCCCCTTACATATGTTGGCTGGTGATGAAAACTCGTTATTCAACCGCATGCAAATTCATGATAATGTTCTAGAAATAATTCCGTAGGGGAATTGCTTCTAACCTATCTGTTTTTCTTCTAAAATAAAATATCGTTAAACAATGGATTTCCCCCTTTATTATAGCTACATTTATTAGCTTTTTGTACGATGTTTTGCTTATATCCTCGTTTTTTCACCAGTTGGGCGACAGATGGAATAAATCACGTTGCGAGTCCTGTAAATGTGAAGCTGGTTATGTAGTTGTTTGCGATACAACGACTTGTCCAACCTGTTCTCCGGTAAGAAGCAGAATACAAACAGTTAAAGACGTTTCTTCACTAATCACTAGTGCAACATTTTCGTATTTTAATTTATTAACTTTAGGGTTACACTAACGTATCACAACCCGGACAGTGCTGTGATAAATGTGGTAAGTAAAATGGAATAGATATTTAAGTTATATATAGCTGTACTATATGGCTTTATTTATATTGAATATTTATGAATTTGTTTGGTATAGAAAGTTGGAGAATGGCTTTATTCTGTAACAAAGCAAAGCCATGCATTCTCCAACTTTCTACCAAAATAAATCCATCAACATCAACCATAATAATGAATACTAGCAATGCTCGTGCTGTACATTGATTTACGTAAGTTTATGAACTGTGGGGATAATGTAAATCTCCCGTCGAAATAATACTGTTGAACTGTTCCGTTTGATTTGGGAAAATGTGCGTTCTTTTCCCCTTTTTCTATCAAACACTATAGCGTAATTTTAATGCATCGTTTATTACTGGCAAAAACACTTGTTACACATCCTCAGTTTCAATACAAAAGGAAACCCCTTTTCCAGTCAATGCTGTGACATTTTTGGTGAGTGGTCCCTGGAAAATAATTAGTAATTTGGTCATATGTTCCCTTAAGAATGTTTCAGCGTAAAAAAAACAATCGATATTTTTCTATAATTTGTATATACCACACTGGCAAGTTATTCTAAACATATCCATCTCTTCCATACAAAAATAACTTTGAAGGTAGCGGATTCGAATGCCAAAAGACTAAGGCTTAATTTCCATTTAGTCGTAATTGTCGTGAACATCAAAAGCCCACACATGCAGACAGGGCGCGATCTTGCAACGCGACGCGATTTTTCAAAATTTTTCATATTCCAAGTGCAAATAGATTTTGCCGCATGAATTTTATTGCAGGAGAGATAAATATCGCCTTCATTCCTTAAATAGGTCAGTACATGCATATCAGTTACAAGATATGAGTTGAATTTATCTTAATTTCTAGTTCTACCTACCACTACTGCATCATCTACAACAATATCCACACCAACAACTGTGACATTAACAAACTGTTCGCTGAATGGAGTGTATCACGAGGTTGGGTACCGAAATTATAGCTAACATACGTATAAGCGATAGAGAGTATATTATGAATAACATATTCCTAAAAGATGACAAGTGATCTATCAGTATTATATAATTTCTTTCAATGAAATACCAAAAGAGAAAGAGAGATCAGTAGAATCTGATCACTTTTCCCAAAACCACACGATTCAGGTTTTAAAGTAATAGCACGTTTTTGAATTTTAGGTTGGCAAAATATGGAAAGAAAGCAACTGCAAGACATGTACATGTCAGAGTAATTTTACAATTAATTGTATAGTGGCGACATGTGGAAATTGTCCCAGCGTAAGTAGAAAATTGTAGTTTTTAAAAATAAAACAGAAAATAAGTGAGACGTGATAGTCGTGATAAAGTTGACATTTGCAATTAAGTGACTATAACATTCTTCCTCTTTAATTTAAGGGCTCAAATGCGATGTATTACCATGGAGAATGTTGTCCGAAATGCGGTAATTTTGAACGCACCGTAATAGTTTTTCTCACCAACTTCACTGTAACTGCAGCTTGTGAAATAGAACTGTTCACGAATATATTTTAAAATTGAGACTAGGCGCTATTTGAATTCAAAAATACGAATATTATGAAATAACATGCATGTGGACATTTTTTAAAATATATTTTAGTGGCGTATGGTGAAAATTGGTGCTTTTATCATTGTGGGGCGTAATTAAAATGTTCTAAGAGGTAGTCATTTTTAACAAATTAAGCCTGGGCAAACATCCGTTAATTTTTTTTAAATAGTTACGACTCCAACTCCATCTTCCACCACCATACCTTTGCCCACACAATCTACTGTGAAACCAACCGGTAATCGAACCACCATCACAACACCTACCACGCCCACCTACTGTAGAATGGATGGAGAAAATTATAAGGTAAGAATATGTTTTTAATTTCCGCCTTAAATTACATTTGATTACAAATGTCTCCCCTTACATATGCTGGCTGGTGATGAAAACTCGTTATTCAACAGCATGCAAATTCATGTTATAATGTTCTAGAAATAATTCCGTAGGGGAATTGCTTCTAACCTATCTGTTTTTCTATTAAAATAAAATATCGTTAACAATGGATTTCCCCCTTTATTATAGCTACATTTATTAGCTTTTTGTACGATGTTTTTCTTATATCTTCGTTTTTTCACCAGTTGGGCGACAGATGGAATAAATCACGTTGCGAGTCTTGTAAATGTGAAGCTGGTTATGTAGTGGTTTGCGATACAACGCCTTGTCCAACCTGTTCTCCGGTAAGAAGCAATTAAGAGTTGAAGACGTTTCTTTATATAATCACCAGTGCAGCATTTTCGTATATTGTAATTTATTAACTTTAGGGTTACACTAACGTATCACAACCCGGACAGTGCTGTGATAAATGTGGTAAGTAAAATGGATAGACATATAAGTTATATATAGATGTACTATATGGTTTTATATATATTGAATATTGATGATTAATGTTAACATCGTCAGGCATAGCGCTATGTTCGAGTTGTTCACTTTTGATGGCCTAAAAATTTGTCGTCCAGACCTATTCTTATTCTTCCTCATTTTTAATTATATCCGATGTCGATGAGAAAACCTAATTCCAATTTATTTATTTTTACAGTTCCACACACCACAACACCACCGAAGTATTGTACATTGAATGGTACACGTATTGAGGTACGGGAAGCTCAGAATTCGTGAGCATATTTTACAGTAAAATATTACATACATATAGAAGCAAATATTGTTGATATATGCTCATGCATGCAGACTTCCTTCATGTACTTGGAATATAAATCCAAATATTCCAAAAATGACCAGGAATTAAAATGCACAATTACACAAGCGAAAAGTTCAAACTTGCAGTGTGATCCTCTATGAATACTTGATGTTATACTCCCTGGAAACCAAATTAATCTTAAAATATCCTTTTACCAAAACTGAAAAGACGTTTTTACTCGTGCTCTAGGAGAGCACGAGTCTAGGTTTCGTCGTGTGTCGGTCGCGTTTTGGACCTCGATGACCCAGAATGCATTGCGCACTTGACCCAGTAATGTTGACGAAATGTAATTATCCGACAATACAAGCCATATTTTACAAACAATACGGCAAAATATATATGCACAGAAGACATTACTACGGTGCAACATTTACATGCATATTGATTGGTGCGATGTATATTTTTAAATTTTGATATGAAAGCAAGATATATGATCGATGTTTTCGCAGTGTTATAGACGTACAAATGCTTATAAATTATACTTATTTAAAATGTTTGAACGGTCGACTGACATTACGAAAAATACGAATAAATACTATTACAACTAGTTTTTTGAAAGCTTTCGTCGGAACTAAAACACTGCAGTTTGCAGGACTTCAATATAGAAGCATTGAAACAGTAATATGTCACGCCGTGTTGATTGTTAGGCTACCTTATAATCGGCATTTGTGAATTGTGATAATAATGTAAATGTATTATTTTATACTTGTGTGATACATTTTTGTCGTGTAAGTCCTCCCAGGCCCAGGGTAACCACAAAGCCTTAACTTACGCTATAGGTTCAAACAACACGCCATGATTGTGTCCCTCAAGACAGTCAAGTAATGCTATCAAATCCCTAGAACACAATCCCTAGAGCACGAGTGTACGCCTAAGCCGGCGTCTTGTTTTTACTATAGGTTGGGAAGACGTGGAATTTATCAAAATGTGAAAAGTGCTTTTGCCATACTGATCTTTCCGTCAGTTGCCAAGAAACGGATTGCTCTGGATGCCAAAAGGTTTGTAACGACTGTTCTATTATATATTGACTGAAAAATATTTATTGAAATCAATAATATTGCATTTTTATATTAAAATATGCACACTACTTCACAAGGGACTGGTTGTGTAAAAATGAAAACTGATTTCTATGACAAGTTTGTGAAAAATGAAACTTTTAACTATAGTTAGTGATCAAGGCAAAATTGGCGAATTAAAATGTTGGGCTTAAAAATTAGCCAGAATGCTCGTGTTATTGATTTTCTTTTCTTGGGTGTTTCATACCAACAACCTACTTACGTATATTCTATTTACACAGGGCTACACAGCCGTTGCTGTTGAAGGAAAATGTTGTAAGAAATGTGGTATGTTAGCAAGCTTTTTATTACTATATTATTTTAGATATACCAGAACAATCTATTAACCAGGTGACTGGGCATTGAATATGCTTTGCAGTTAAACCGAATACTTTTTCATCTGGTTTTCCCACAGAAAAAATTTCAACTACACCTTCGAGTACTCCTTCAACAACAAGCACTACAACACTACCACCGGAATACTGTATGGTTAATGGATCGCGATACGAGGTATGCCAAATTTGCTTAAAAAATTGCCGTTTCGCCGGTGTTGTCTCATCTTATCTATACCCCCAGGTTACTCTATTGCCCGAATAGTGTAAGAATATGGGGTAAATTTTAGATTTTTATTCTAACAGATTGGTGAAAAATGGAATAAAAGCGTTTGTGAAGTGTGTGAATGTCGCAGTAAAACGTTAGAAAAGTGTCGCATTCACACATGTTCTCCGTGTTCTTTGGTAAGCATATGAAGATCAATAAATGAAGTTTGCTCTATATCTCCCTGCCCGACATAGAATTACAAATAAATTTCAGCTGCCATCAATTTGCCATATTTCGTTTTTAGGGCTACCACCCGGTAAAGCAACCTGGAAAGTGTTGTCCTCTCTGTGGTAAGCTTCAAATTATATTAAGTCATTTCCCGCTGATCATTCTCTTCTTATTAGAAGGAAAGTTGAACATGGTTACAAAGTTCGATTCATAATTTTCCCTCTTGCATACGTTTAACCCAGTGTGCATGACGCCTAAAGGAGGAAGAATTCACTATTTTATTTTTTTCAATGGCGACCGATTGTGATACAAATTAAAAATGAAAAAACTGGTGGTCAAATGAAACAGTAACTGCATAAAAATGTATTAGCTACGTTTCACTACTGAACTACCTTTCGAAGCAAAAACTGCCGATTCTATTCAATCATTTAAACGGATAATAAAAACTTTGAGGTGAAGCTGACCTGTCCTCATTCTCACATCGTTCTTTGTCGATTGCCTATTTGTTGTATAATCTGTTTATCATCCCGGTACAGTATGTTATCTATGCATGTAATCCATTGGTTTTATATTTTTAATGTAAATACACATCTCATGAAAAACAGCAGTGTTGATGAGGCTAGCGTGTTTAAATAAAGTATTATGTATGTATGTATGTGACTATAATATAAGGAGAGGCGTGGTAGCGTCTTGTAATATCTATGCATCAAATATGATATAACTGGCTATAAGGTAGACAGGAGCACATTATTTGAATAGAAAAACATAATTGATATTTTAATCATTCTCGTTTTAAGTTTTTCTTCATTTTCTATTAGTTTAACAAAATATAGATATAACCAACTTTGCCATGAGGTGTCTGTAAATGATGTCATGCTCTGTAATATTCAATTTAGTTTCGACCACGCCCTCAGCTCCTGTAATATCGACAACAACTCCAGGCTCAACCACCGTGACTATCCCAACGCAATATTCCACCACCCCGACACCGAAACTTTGCGACGTGGTGGCGAAGAATGTGACTGTCACAAATAGCCATGGCTGTAGCGGTGTTTTTGAAAGAACTCAGTGCGTCGGTGGTTGTCAATCCAGTACAGACATCGACCTTTTCACATTCCCATTTATACACAGGGACTGTTCATGTTGTCAGCCTACAGCCATTGAGCGTGCGCAAGCCACGATCACGTGTGCTGGAAAGCATTACCAACAACAATACATAGTTATTCGAGCCTGCAAATGTACTGCTTGCGGTACTTATCCGTTGGAGAAAAAGGAGCAAGAATTCTCACAAATCATAAGAAATAGTACGTCCCCAACTGCCTAACTTTTAGAATTATACGGACACCAACTGGGCCATTACTATAATATTATATTTTTTATTCGTCAAGTTATACGTTTAAGAGTAACATATGGAGTGTGAATATTTTATAATTCTATCATATATATTGTAAGAATAGGTTGGTGTAAGATGTAAAATTTTGTAATGATCTTTATACGAGTGTTCAGTCTGTAATAGCAAATATAATTCATTTTTGTGCCATCTTTGCAATAAAGCTTGTCTTTATTTAACAAAGCAGAGGAATAATGTTAGGAAGTGACCAAAGTTGACTGAGAAATAGCTTGGGTTCTTGTGCCTGAGTGTGCATGTATTGAGAAAGAATACACTTAATTGTACTATACACAGAGACATTCCGGTATAATCGACCTTACCTAAATCGAAGATACCATATTCCGGTATAATCGACCTTACTTAAATCGAAGATACCATATTCTGGTATATTCGAACTTACCAAAAAACGAAGATATCATATTCCAATATATTCGATCTTAATTACCAAAATCGAAGATACCATATTCCGGTGTATTCAACCTGACCAAGATCGAAGATACCATATTCCGGTATATTCAACCTGACCAATATCGAGGGTACTATATTCCGGTATATTCGACCTTACCAAGATCGAAGATACCATATTCCGGTATATTCAACCTGACCAATATCGAGGGTACCATAGAAATCACAATTGCAAACAGGGCTATGGTTTTATCTAGCTACAGGGTGTCCACAAAATGTTCTTACACGTTTGGTTTGTCTATTGTGAGGTAAAATCTATACAGTTATATTTCAATTGAGCTTTGAGATGCCTGACTTGCTATGACATAAGAACCTTTTCTTATAAGAACCTTTTCTTAAACTGGATTTGCTGCCGCTAACATATGGTCGCGAGGTCAAGTACTTAGTGTATCTTTATAAGGCTTTATATATGGCTATATTGATATGGATGTAACTTTTGTCAAGAGGGTAGATTATGGACATGACGAATATTGACGATCACATGCAGATTAATTTAGTAACTCCATTTTGTAAAACGACTACTTATTCATCGTCGTTTTTTAATCGGACTGTTAACATGCACGTGGAATTGTATATGTACATTCGTGAGCCCTTGTAGTTTTGAAAATATTAGGTCATTTATGCTCTGAATTAACAAAGTTTAGATATTTTATCAGGAACGGACATGTTCCGGTGGTGCCTTACATGGGACTTTTGTCCCGTTCGCACCCGGTGCATCGATCTGCAGTGTATTTTATTGTTATTATTATTGTTATAGTACATATATATTGTACTATCTGACATCAGTTGAAGCCAAACATTTACGAATAACTTACACAGTCACTAAAACGAGGCTCTAGAGGCCGAGTTATTATATCTATAGCCGAGTGTCATCAGAGTGCAGCAGGGCCATTGTGCAAAGGAAATTAAAGGCCTATAGCTATTTACACAACAAGTTAATTTAACATAACTTAATATAACGTTGCCGAAAATAACTAGCTTTATTTTTATTGTGTCCCTTGTGAATTGATGCGATTTTCATTGATCACCGACAGTCGGCGATGTATTTTTGGTGCTGATGACGAAGAATATCCAAAAAAAATGCAAGTAACAAAGCCCTTCATTTGTCAGTCATCACTGACATTTCGCTGGTTGCGCATCGCCGACACGCATTTAGATTCCGTAGACGGCCGGTAGCATCTACCGTGCAAAAGTCCCTGGTCTATTGGAAAACGTTTTCTTCATTTATTGATTAAAGAGATCATATGGAACATCACTTATCTATACAGATCAGGGTTGTGCCATGAGACATTTGTCATTTACTTTGCTAAACGATACCCTGGCTCGGTTCTGGTATGTGTTATTCGAGGTTTCTGTGAAGTTATTCCAGGTTTCCGCGCAAGCAATTTTAGGCCTGTTTTCCGTATTTTTCACACATGCCAAAACCGTATCGTAGCGTATTTCTTCGTTTCAAAGTCATTAGCTCTGCCGGAGTGCTATATGAGCATGGGGATGATTTATTGACCAGTTACCTGGCACAGGTGATTAGAAAATACCAATTCTTAGAACGGCTTTGAGCCTAATTTTAAGAGATCTGATCCTGACGATGGCGACTGTCGCTGATCACTGACGAGTGAAACCAGTTGCTTTTTTGTATTATCGTACTATACACTAAATTATGCGCGTCATGCATGTCCAAAATCGTGTTGCGCATGCGTCCATATTCAACGTGCGAAATTTCTCGAAGTTAGCCCATGCCTCAATTTGGCAGAATGACTGTGAAAAAAATTCTTTCAATCTTTGTCATTCACCGCAAACAAGGGATCATAATAGATGCCAATTGATGTGATAGGCTTCGCACCAATTGCACGATATAAATCGACTTCCTAAACCCGATTTCCGCTACATCACAGCATTAGGTTAGAAAAAAACTTCATTCACTAGCCAACTCGGCAACTCCTACAGTAAAAGCTGATTTCCAAGAGGACTGAGTTATAAATTAGTTAAAATATACAATGAGTTAAACAATACAACTTCTGAATTTTGCGAGTCATTCAGTTCCATTGTGAACGATTGCTGATCGGAGTAAAATCCTTTGCGTTCTTGAAATCATTAATGTTCTTTAACGATTACCGACAGTGAGTCGACTGTTCGGTTGTCAGACCGGAAACTATACGCTTGACCCTAACCCTAGCTGCGGTCACATGTTCCGTGAGAAGATAAATGTAAAATATCTATATTTATATTGCTATAGTAACTGATTAGCTCTACTAACGTCAAACACCCAACCGTAGGAGGTGTGCCGATCCAGGAGTCATGGGCTGTAAAGAAAAAAAATTCAAATTAAATTTTCAAGTAGGCTCATGTCGTTCAGGCAGAGACCTAACTATCGTTATGGTATTGGATGGAGTCAATGACGGACTCAGCATTTGTCAAAATAGATCACTGCATTACACTCCTATAAGCTCCATACCTATAGTGAAGTACCTGAATAAAAATGCTACTTGTTATATATTCAAATGTGAGCTGCTATAATTTGTTTTGGTTTTGACCAAATAACTGCCGATGGATGATGATACAAGGTAATGCACACGACCGCCCTTTCAAGCTCCTGATTAGTGAGGAGTGCATAGGGTCTCCACAAGAAAAGGCAGCGAGCAAACAAGCAAGCGTATAAAACTCGACAGAATTACCTTTTCCAATAGCAAGGATAGTGTATATGATGATCATTGTGGGGAGCAGTTCCTTTTGAATGAACAACAACAGTATGGCCTGTATGCTTTGCTCCCTAACATAATGATCAGAGGGTCCATCATCGCGCCGGAGTGCAACAAGCAGAAGGCGATAGCGTGTATTGTTTCCAACTGTGGAAACGTGTCCGCATCTAAATTATTGTACTCGACACTGAGTGACAATATTCCATATGGTACGAAGGAAACGATGAAGCTGATCAACAATAATAACGAGATTCTGACAGCGCGGTGACTCTGCATCACGAAGGATACGGTTTCGTGCACGTGGTTACCGGGGAGTGATTTGATCGTCGAAACTGGGGTGACAATGTTTCGCGCCCTTTTCAAACGTCGGACAATTCCGAGGTAACTCACGGACACAAGAAACGTTGGAGCGAAGGAGTTGAACACCACTAAAAATGTGATGTGTGTCCTTCGTGCTTGGTGGGATTCCCAGAAGGTGTCGCAGAGCCAGGTGCCATTCAGGTTGTACGGTTTGTACGCCGAGGCAAAGGGGAGTGCGAATATTAGATAGCAAAAAATCCAGAGTGCAACGTTGTTGAGCGTTGGGGAGGAGAATACCTTTGTATTTCGAAATGATTTAAACAGGATGAGATAGCGGCCAACAGCAATGAATGTGAAAGAAAAGCAAGCGACGGCTGTGAAGAGCTCGCGTAATGGCCAAATAAAACGACACGTGAAGTCGTTGATAGGTACGTTTTCAATGTAAATTGGGAATATGAATATACCAATTGAAAACGTTGACGTGCCAAGGTTACTCACAGCAAGACTGATGACAAGCATGTTCGTTGTATTCATTGCAGCATTACGGTGGCTTCCAAAACTCGTTAAACCATTTTTGTAACGAACCCCACGCCATATAACTATAATATTCGCGATAGTTCCAATGACGCCAACGAAAGATAAGTAAATGACTTGGTTAATTATGACGCCTTTGAACTTGTCAAATTCATCTGATTCGTCTCCGCTCCCACTACCGCTACCGCTACCACTACCACTATCGCTGAAGTTATCTTGAACTGGTGAACTAGAGATCGTGGTCGCTGCTGTGTACGACATCATTCAGACTTCCTTACACAAATGAAACTGATTTGGAACACAAGACTGGCGTGCTACGAAATACCCACATATTTATAGGAGCGCGGTTTGCCATGTTAAATACTCAATATCTGATTAACCTAAGTAGTTCATTACAAGATTAGCAATTCAAGGATCTAGAAGTTTTGCCACCATCAAAGTTCGCGGATTAAAAATGTACTTTGTTTTCTTTCCTTATTAATTATATCCCAAATATCCTTTTAACTATTAGCACTGTTGCTGTTTAAACAATTCATCTGGAACATTGCCACACACTTTAACGTCTACTATACATTCACACAGACATAGTTGTCTATGACCGGCAGATCACTTGCAAAAAAGCTTTAATCCGTATCCATATTGAACAATTCTCCATGGTTATCAACATATTAACTATGCATATCATAAAAAATGCGGTTCGATTCAGTACGTGGGTTGCTTAAAAAAGCATACAGTAGCTCGTGTTTAGCCTTTACTTGCACAACTGACCAATTTTTTTTCGACAAATTTTATGTGACAAATTTTTCTGTGTGGATGGGATTTATGATAAATTTATTATGGAAAAGGTATTTAGAAAAGGTGGCATCAAAAGAATCCTTATATAAATGTATATATCATATGCATTGTTTCTTTCAATCACCAACAGGCGTGCGGACCGTGAGATTGATTGAAAAAAACCTGACCCTTTGATTTAATTATACTGCAAGCCTAATTTGACAGCCTCTTGTATGCAACACTGAACAGGACGCAGTTATAACTTCAGTTTTATTATATTTCTCACAAAATTAGAGGCCTTTTAACTGCCAAAGGGTTCCGGCAGAACTTTATATGTCTTACATGCAGTGTAAATCACTTATAGCGATTTTCTTTCGGCTACTCTTGTTAA